GGGGGGGAGGTGGGGACCGACCTCGCAGCCAGGCCACGCGGACTCGCCCGACCCCTCAACTGTGGCCGCATCCCACGCCGCCCCGCGCCCTCACCCCCGCCCCGAACCGCCCCCGCTTGCCCAGGTGGCGCGCGTGCTGACCGAGGAGGGCATCCTCACGGCGGTGGACCACCCCTTCCTGGCGACGCTGTACTGCACCATACAGGTGCGGCGCGGCACCGCGCGTTGCGTTTTCGCGGCGCGAAGGGGATCACAGCGGCGGCAGCGAGCCCCCTGCGCCCTGCGCGCAGCCCCCGGCGCAGCAATCATCTGAGATGCCGCCGTGGGTGGCGAGTTCATCTTGTCTCATGCGTCACCTGGTCTCTTTCGACCCACCCCTGTCCCCGGCCCCCATCGGCAGACGGACAGCCACCTGCATTTCGTGATGGAGTACTGTGAGGGGGGGGAGCTGTACGGCCTGCTCAACGCGCAGCCCAAGAAGAGGCTCAAGGAGACGCACGTCAGGTGACTCCGCGCCCCGCAAGACACGCGGGCGTCGCGCCCGCCCTCTCCTGGCCCCCCTCCCTACGCTGCCCCGCTCGCCGCCCCGCCAGCGACGCGCCGGCGCCGCAGCTCGCCATCCCGAGTTGCGCGGAACGACATCTTGCCTGGCTAGGCGCCGCCGCGGCGCGCGCGCGCGCGAGGCCTGCGCGACGCTCGAGCCGCCTGCGAAGCAGCTGCATGACGTCAGCGACCGAACGACCTCCGGCCCTCCACCCCCCCCCCCCTCCCCAGGTTTTACGCGTCTGAGGTGCTGGTGGCCCTGCAGTACCTGCACCTGCTGGGCTACATCTACCGCGATCTCAAGCCCGAGAACATCCTGCTGCACCACACGGGCCACGTGCTGCTCACCGACTTCGACCTGTCCTACGCGCGCGGCGCCACCAAGCCGCACATCAAGGTGACCGCGCGGCCCGTCGTGCGCCGCGCCCGCCCCGCCGCGCGCTTGCCGCTCGGCTCTTGGCCTGCATGCAGCGGTCTCCTCAGCCAAGGGCAAACATCGAGCGGTTCCTGTACTGCGCCGCGCGTTTCCTCGCCCGTGCCACTCCGCCTCACTCTGAGCGGTGGGCCCCTCTTCTGCTTTCTTCTACCTCCTCCGTTGGTACTGCGTCGCCACTCCTCCCCCCAACACACACACACACACACACATATACACACACACACAATCACACATTCACGCCGCAGGTCGGACCCAACGAGGGCCGGCGTGCGTCGGCCGGCTGCGCGCGCAAGGGCGGGGACGAGGCCAAGCTGCTGGACCCGACGCTGTCGCCGGCCGGCAACCCGCTGCTGCTGGTGGCTGAGCCGGAGGCGCGGGCCAACAGCTTCGTGGGGACAGAGGAGTACCTGGCT